GTTTAAAAGAATTATCCTGGATTTCCTGAAATGGGTATTTTCCAAGAATATGATACCTACCTGGAAAGAAAAGCTGTTTGCACAGTTTGCTGTGGTTTGCTCCCAGGACAAGGACTGTCACCACAGCATCTGTGAAGTGTCTCAGTAGGACACAGAGAGATAAATGTTTGGTCTGTGATCTCATCTGCTTGCCGGGAAGTGATTATCATTTCACCTGTAAGTGCAGTGACAGTGTCTACATGGGGAGTTCAGATTAATTCTAATTAATCCCAAAATAACTAAAAAATATTTGGGATTTCAAAAACTTCTGAAAGCTATTAAAAGTGCCAATAGGATGTCCATTAAGAGTGACAGAGGGGAGGTCCCTGGGTGGCTCAGTCAGGGAAGTGTCTGAATTTGGCTCAGGTCTTGATCTCGGGGTCCTGGGACCAAGCCCCACACCGGGCTACACGCTCAGCGGGGAGTCTGCTTTTCCCTCTCTCTCCCTCCCTCCAAATTGTGTGATCTCTCTCTAGAATAAATAAAATCTTCAAAATTTTTTTGTTTAAAAAAGGGTGGCAGTGGGGTGCCTGGGTGGCTCAGTGGGTTAAAGCCTCTGCCTTCAGCTCAGGTCATGATCCTAGGGTCCTGAGATCGAGCCTGGCATCAGGCTCTCTGCTTGGCAGGGAGCCTGCTTCCTCCTCTCTCTCTGCCTACCTCTCTGCCTACTTGTGATTTCTGTCTGTCAAATAAATAAAATCCTTAAAAAAAAAAAAGGGTGGCAGAAACAGATGGAGAGAACCTACTTTTGAAATAGTTTAGTCCTGGGTTGCCTGGGTGGCTCAGTTGGTTAAAGCCTCCGCCTTTGGCTCAGGTCATGATCTCAGGGTCCTGGGATCAAGCCCCACACCAGGCTCTCTGCTCTGCGGGGAGCCCACTTCCTCCTCTCTCTCTTCCTGCCTCTCTGCCTACTTGTGATCTCTGTCTGTCAAATAAATAAAATCTTCAAAAAAAAAAAAAGAAAGAATTTAGTCCTAATGGAATGTGGAAGAATACCGTTTTATCTAACTAGTGAAAGAAAGAGGTTGATCAAATGTCTTAGTCAGTTTGAGGGCTCTATTTACAGAAGATAATTCCTTCTCATTTCTGAGAGCACTGAGCACAGTGAAACTGAAGGGAAAAACAGTGTGGATGGAGGAAAAAAGTGTATCCAGAGTTGTGTGAATAAATAGGGTATTGCGGGGTGCTTATTTGTTCAGTATTTTAACAAATATTTATTGTGTAGTTTATGGGCTTCAGGCACGTTTCTAGGCATATGGAATATATCAGTACACAAAATATAAATAGAAATCCTGGAATTTACTCTGTAGTTGATGAAAAAGGGAACAATGCACCTGTGATACTAAGTCACACAGTGCGTTAGAAGGTCATACAGAAACAGGAAGAACAGGGTACAGGTGATAAAAACATCAAGGATTTGAGATGGATTAAAGTTGTGATTGGCCCTCCCTCCCCCAGACCCCCACCTGCCTGGTCCCTGTCTGAGGGAGAGTGGTTTCATGGGCTCCTCTTCACCTTTCTAGCTGGCACTTCTTGCTGTGGGGAACTTGAGGGCTCTCCTTGGCCTGGATTCCTGAATCCTGAATCCAGTCCAGGGCTTATATGATAAAGTCCACATTTCTGGCAACCAGCACAATGTGAAGTCAAAGATTGTCCCTGAGATGGCAAGCAGTGTCTGGAGGCTTGGAGGTGAGGCTGAGTGGATAGTGTTCGGGGAATCATGTCTGCTTTATATCTGGTGGGAACTGAGAGGGCAGTGGGGGCAGGATTCTGTACTGGAACTACTGGCTGAGCAGTTGGGCCTCTGTTCTGAGGGTCTGGGGAGCCACAGAAGATTTGGAGCAGAAAAGGGAGGTAATCTGACTCATCATGAACAAGTCCTCTGGGAAATTCTGAGTGGAGAACCAACTGTGGGGGTGAGGAAGGAGAAAAGTGCAGTAGTCTGGAACACTGCTGAAGGTGGCTGGACCAGAAGGGTGGCTGTGGAAGTGGGGGAGGTAGTTGGATTCTAGATCTCTGGGAGCTGGATGACTGCAGGGTTTGGGTCTAGCACCTGCAAGAATGGAAACACCGTCAACTGAGGTGGGGTCGGGGGTAGGATTCACTTTCTGGGGCAATACTCAACCAGTAGGAGGAGGAAAAGAAAGGTAACTTGGCCGTAGGAACCAGTGTGTTCAGATGCTTAGGAATGACAATGAGTTGGGTGTTCAGCGAATGAATTGTAGGGCTCTATTATGTCTGCTGGGCACAGAAAATTGAGGGATGGGGGCAGAAGTCAGTCGTGGAATGGCAGCCTGAGGTGATCTGGAGACCCCAGGGTAAGTTACTACAACAGTCCAGGGGAGGGCTGATGGTAGCTGGATCATAGCAATGGCTTCGAAGTTGGGAGAAGAGGTTGGTTTTTCTTTTTTTTTCAAAAAAATTTTTTTAAAGATTTTATTTATTTATTTGACAGACAGAGATCCCAAGTAGGCAGAGAGGCAGTAGAGAGAGAGGAGGAAGCAGGCTCCCTGCTGAGCAGAGAGCCCGATGCGGGGCTCGATCCCAGGACCCTGGGATCATGACCTGAACCGAAGGCAGAGGCTTTAACCCACTGAGCCATCCAGGCGCCCTGTTTTCTTATTTTAAATTCATGACTTGCACTAATCTCATAGAAAAATTACTGCAAACTTTTTAAAAAAGATTTTATTTATTTGACAGAGGGAAAGAGATCACAAGTAGGCAGACCAGCAGGCAGAGAGAGAGGGGGAAAGCAGGCTCCCCACCGAGCAGAGAGCCCGTTTCGGGGCTCAATCCCAGGACCCTGAGACCACCACCTGGGCTGAAGACAGAGGCTTAACAGACTGAGCCATCCAGGAGCCCCTAAACTTTTATATGAAAATAATTTTTGTATCTTTTAAAAAAGATTTTATTTACTTATTTGAGAGAGAGAGAGAGAGAGCATGAGCAGGGGAAGGGGGGGGAGGGAAAGGGAGAGGGAGAAGCGGACTCCCTGTTGAGCAGGGACCCTGGAATCATGACCTGAACTGAAGACAGACACTTAACCAACTAAGCCATGCAGGTGCCCCTGGAGAACTTGTTTGATGGGGAAGTTCATGTCGCCCTTTCTAAGAGCAGGAGTTACTTAATTTGGATCCACCCTTTGTTGCCCAACACCCTATGATTATGGGAATATCATAATCTTTTATTGGATTTGTGTTTCTGAAGTCTTTAAGGGCTGGAATGATCAGTAACTACAGCAATTTCAGATTTATTGGAGTTTGATTTGGACTTTTATATGAGCAAATTTTATTAATTCCCAGACTACATCTTCTTACCTAAGTGTTTAAGATTTAAGTTTATTTTTAAAAAGAGATTTAAATTGGGGTGCCTGGTTGTCTCAGTGGTTTAAAGCCTCTGCCTTCAGCTTAGGTCATGATCCCAGGATCCTGCTCAGCAGGGAGCCTGCTTCCCCCTCTCTCTCTGCCTGCCTCTCTGACTACTTGTGATCTCTGTCAAATAAATAAATAAATAAATAAATATTTTTTTAAAAAAGAGCTTTAAATTTATTTTATGATGTTTCTTCCAAAAAATCACAAATCTTTCCCTTTTTGTTAGTTTACTTCACTGTCCTAGGTCTATTACGTGTGTGTGTGTGTGTGTGTGTGTGTGTGTGTGTGTGTGTGTGTGTAACTAATCTCCATGTCCAGTCGGGAGCCCAAGAGACAGCTTCAACTCACAACGCCAAAACCAAGACCTGAGCTGAGATCAAGAGTTGGATGCTTAACTGACTGAGCCACCCAGGCCCGTCCCTCTTACATTTTTTTACTCTATTAGCTACGTCCCAAATTTCTCTTTTCAATATTAAGCGGTGTTTTAAAAATTATAAAATGTAAGTTTAAAAATGAAAAATTTCAGTGTAAGTTTTTAGGGAATCAATTATGTATAAATGTCAGGAGCATATGCCCTGACACCCCCCCTCCTCTAACCCCTTTCCCCCTTCCTAGCACGGACAGGTAACCCCGTTTCGCCAGCGGAGGGTCTTTCTAAACCAAACTACGTTCAGTCACTCAGATCTCTCTTAAGTCATAGCTGCTGATCCAAAGCTCAGTGAATCCTCCTTCTACACACACGTACCTATGAGAATTAGTAACGGAAACCTCCCTAGAGTGCAGAGAGGAGGTTTCAGCGGGGAGCTCCCGGACGCTGCCGCGGGCGCTCAACGTAGCCGCACAGGAAGGGGTCCCCTTGACCTGGCAGATGCATACTGCTCTACACGGCCCGCGGCAGAACGCGAGCGTGGCTCACCCCCCAGCTCGGCAACTCAGCCACCGAGAAGCCCCTCGACCTGGAACTCCCAGTTTATCCAGGGGACTTCTAGTTTATAACACTCCTCCCAACTTGCGTCTTTTCTCCGTAAAGGTGGGCTCTTCTCCTTCGTCCTTTTGCCGGCGGTTTTGCCGTAGCTTCTTCGTCCTGGATTACAATTCTTTTATTCCCAAATAGGCCCATGTTTGGCTGATAAAATAACTGGCCGTTTTATGTTAAGGTTAACAGGTTTTGCGGACTCTTACTTGATGTGTTTTTACTTTGTCCTTCCATAGGGGCCACCCGACCTTGCACCTGCGGCGGAAGCTCTCACCCCGCTGCAAGCCACGATGAAAGGAACTACGTTACCCAGAAGACTGTGCGCCCAGCTTCCTGACCACGCTGACCAATGAGGACGCAGAGTGGGCGTGTCCGAGAGGGAGGAAGGCCAGGGGGCGGGCCTCCCCGCCGGCAGCTAGTGGAGGCCGTGCTCCCAGTCTGCGTCCGGAGGAAGGAGCTAGAACCTAGGGGAGCGGAAAGAAGGCACGTGTGCCCCGCGCGGGAGCGGGTTCGAGGTTCAGTGTGAGCGCGGCTGCTGGGAGCCGCGTTCGGACCTCCTGCCCGCTGCCGCCGTTATCGCCCGTCCCCTGGCCCAGTTGAGCCCGCACGTTACGATGGTGACGGCCGGGCTGGCGTACCCGGCTCAGGTGAGAGCGTGTGTTCTCTGGACCTCACCGGCCCGACCCCCAAGGGGGTGGGTCTCCTCGGGGCACTGACAGGCCCGGCTCGCCAGAACGCGGGCGTTCGTGGGCGGGGACCCATTTCTGGCCGCCGGTGGGAAGCGTGAGGAAGGGGCCGGCGCGTGGGAAGCCCGGGGCGCGCGTGAGACGAGCCTCGGCAGAGCTGGGGGTCCGAGCGGCGGGGTAGGGAACGGGAACGCGGGGTGGGTTGGCGCTGTGCGGCCCGTCAGCTGCTGCCCGGGGAGGACGGGCTTGGGGCGCGGGGAAGAAGGCTGCGAAGGACGCGGAACGGTGGTGCTGGTGTCCCGCGGCCGCGCGTGTGGCTGGAGCAGGACAGGGGGAAAGACTCTCCGTCGGCCTTCTGCCTGCGGGTCTGGACGCGCTGCGGCGGGGCGCTGCTGTGAGGAGCAGGCTTCCGGGAGAGCTTAGGAGCTGGGTTTCGGACACACTGTTCCCGAGCTCCCACAGCAGAGGGGACGCCCTGGCGGCTGCAGTCTCTGGTCTGGACTCCGCGGAAGCGGGCGCAGTGATGTCGGTGTCGTGACCGCCCGAGTCCTGCCCCAGGACCGAGACTGGCTCTCGGGTTTAAGCTGGAAAAATCTGGACGCTTCTTTAAGATAGGCCCTGAGAGGAAGGAACGGAGAGCTGGGGCTGGAGGGCGGGCGGAGCGCCTGCAGGCGGGAGGGTCCTGTGGTCCAGGGCTTTACGGCGGGAGGGGAAGTTGCAATGAGGAAGGAGCCCTGCTGAGGTGGGAAGGGGAGGTGTGAGGGCAGGTGAGGGGGTCTCTGCTCTGAGGCTCAACAAACTGACTACTCCCCGTGGAGCGAGGAAGGGCCAGCCTGGCTGGTGGAGCAGCGCAGGTTCATGAAGTTCTCGTAGGTGCCTCAGCTCTCCCAGGAAGTACAACTTCAAAACGCTGTAGCTTTAGCCAGTTAAACTTACACAAGCAATAGTTGACTGAAATGACAATATACCTGTGTGATAAAATGTATATATATATTTGGATTTTGTCATGGACTCTTGCCATAGATCTCCTAAAGCCCTTGGGATTTCCTGGGTGTTAGCAGTGGTTTTTCTTATCATAACTGTCCCCTTTTATCACACAGGAGTTTATCCTAATGAGGTGACTTGGGGTGGGACTCCTGGATAGCCTCAAGTTGGGGGTGGTCAACAGAAGGACCAGGTGATTAGAAGTTTAAACTTTCAGGGTGCCTGGTTGTCTCAGATGGAAGAGCATGAGACTTGATGTTGGGGTCAAGAGTCTAAGTCCCACGTTGGGTGTAGGGATTACTTAAAATAAAGGAGATGTTAACAGCAACAACAAAAGACATTTCAACTTTTAGCTACCCCCTACCTCCTAGATGGGAGAGGAGCTGGAGGTATAAAGACTTGAGCAGTGAGATTCAGGAAACCTCCAGGATGGTGAACACATTGAAATAATAGACGGGCTGTGAGGTTGTGCTTACTGGCCCTGATTGCCACTCCCATGGTGCTGCCACATAGATAAAAGAGACATCCTCAGACCCTTTGTTCTAGGCCCTGGGTCATCTTAGGTGCAGGGTCCTTAATCAAGTTCAGAAGTTGTATTGAGGTGTCCCATTTCTCTAGTCCATAAGGTGATGCAATGAAGGGCTTCCTGGCACAAGAGCCAACATGCCCACAAGGGAGTGTTCAGTGAACCACAGGCCTGTGTTAGATCTGCTGGGGGCAGAGACTGAGGGGCAGGAGTCAGTCGTCAGGTAGCAGCCTGAGGAATTGGGTCTGCTGAGTGTCCTGGGTCCATGGAAGGTTTGGAGCAGAGAAGGGAAGTGATCTGATTCAGGTCTAAGTAGGCTAGTCTGCCTGCAGAGTGGAGGACAGATTGTGGGGGTGCAGGTGGAGGAAGGGAGACCCCAGTGGAGGCCGCAGTCTTGGTGAAGGTTAATGGTAATGGATCATAGCACTGGCACCATAGTTGGAGAAAACTGTATTGTTTCTTGGCTATTTTGTAAGTAGGGATGATTTTTCTGCTCTACAGGATGAGAGAGCGTCTGGGATTACTTCGGGATATTTGGCTTTAGCTGGAAGCATGGAAGTGCCATTGCTGAGATGGAAAGTTCATAGCAGCACTGTCCGGAGCTCAGTGTTTGCCATGTTGCATCTGAGATATTGCAGGGATCTCTGAGTGCAGGTGACAGGTGGGCATCTAGAAGCAAACATCTGGATTTCAGGGAAGGGGTTCAGGTTTGAAGACACCCCTCAGTGGTGGCAGGCATGCAGACCGTGTCATATTTAAGAGGGGGCAGTCTGCAGATCATGGTGGTGATGCCATTACAGGGGAAGGATGGAGAGGATATTCTCCATGGACTGACCCACTTCTTGGGCACCTGGATAGGGATGGCTGTCATCACTAAGACATGAGGAGGTACAGTGACCACGGGGGTGGGGGTGGGGTATGGGTGTAAGGGAACAGGCCTTAAGTGGGAGTCCAGGTGGTGGCACAGGATTCCCAGGGGCTGGATGCAAGATTTATCGAAAGGCAGAGCAGGGCGCCTGGGTGGCTCCGTTGGTTGGGTGACAGCCTTTGGCTCAGGTCATGATCCTGGAGTCCCGGGATTGAGTTCCCACATTGGGCTCCCAGCTCCATGGGGAGTCTGCTTCTCCCTCTGACCTTCTCCCTTCTCATGCTCTCTCTCACTCTCTCTCTCCTAAACGGACAAATAAAATCTTTTTTAAAAAACTACAAAAAAAAAAAAAGAGCAGTAACAGAGATCAGATGACACTGAGTAAGGTGTGCTACTTTTTTCGCTCTACAGGTTCAGTTTTGTGACAACTCTTGCTGGAACCTGAAGCGTGTCAGATGGGATGACAGATTAGCTTAAGGGAAGAGGAGGTCAGCTGAGAGTCTCTTGGGCTGCGGTGGGAGAAGTGGGCCCGGCTTTGAATGTGATGAGGTGAAGAGACCGGTGTGAGAACAACACAAGCAGCACTGAGGAGGAGGAGGGTTTAGGGAGTCTGATGCCTACATGGACTAGAGTGGCTAAAGTTGGAAGACGGAGCCAGGCAACATGGGGCGGTCCTCAGAGCAGTGCTGGGACTGCGTCTAGCAGGAGGGTCCATCTGACGCCCTGGGATAGCCCGGGATCCTCTGGCATTTGGCAAGTACTGGCTGGGAACCACTTGCAGAGTGACATATGGGGAAGTCAGGTGCCTATGACAAGGACCAGAGGTATCAGTGGTGTTGTGGGTGAGTGGTTGTGACCTGGCATGTGAGAAAGGAGCGGTTCCATTGTGCAAATGCAGAGGAAATGTGAAGATGCACTCAGGATCCTTTGTACTCAGGGCTAAAGGCAGAAGGCTGAGCGTAAGTGACATATGTGGCATGATCTGTGTGATCCTAGGAGAGTTGACTGTGAGGAGAGTGGCAGGGACTCTATACAGCGGCCTAGAGCGTGGGTAAGACTGCCTCTCTCCCCATCTGTTCTTACTGATGACTGGCAACAGTGAGGCATTTGACATGACAGAGAGGGGTACCCTAGGGTGGGACCCGGTGTCTCCTCTGAGTTGGGGAGCTGTGGAAGAGGGCCATGGCCTTGGGGGTCTTGGCTAGAGAGGCTGCTTATGCACTGCTCTGCCCTCCTCATGACAGGGCCATGTGACCTTTGAGGATGTGGCCGTGTACTTCTCCCAGGAGGAGTGGGGTCTCCTTGATGAGGCTCAGAGACGCCTGTACCACATTGTGATCTGGAGACCTTGGCGCTTATAGCGTCCCTGGGTAAGGACCCTCATTCCCACACCATTGCCTTATATGAGGTTGTGCTCTTCTCCTTTTTCCAAGGATCTCTGTCCCTGCCAGAGCTGGGCCATGGGCATTGCTTCCTTCCCTGGTTTCCTGGCATAGGTGTTGCATTTGCTGGGCCTGGGCTTTATGAAACCCCAACATGTTCTGCCTTGAAGCCTCTCACAGAAGGGTTTGGTTTCTGAGCCTTGGACCTGCCTGATCGGTGCTGATTAGCCTTGCTCCTCCTTACTTTGTTGACTGTTCTCATTTGTGGAAGATCTCTGTCATAGGTTCTGCCCCCTTCTGTTTTGTGCACTGTCTGTAGGGAATTATAGACACTGACATGGTCAGTATTTGCACGGAACCCTAAATTATTTTTGCAGGACCATCCTCAGAATCCTCCTACCAATAAACTTCTTTCCTGTAATCTATCAGTGTTTGGGTCCCTCTGGGCCAGTGTCACCCACTTAACTGCCCTGTTTTCTCCTGAGTACATCAACCTGCTAGGTCCCAGAAAATTGCCTACGTTGAATGGAGGGGTACAGGAGAACCCTGGGTACCTGATAGCTCAGACACCTCTCCAACCATGGGAAGGGGGATTAATAGGATCCGGTGAGGAGGAGCAGTGGGAAGGCATAATTTCAGGATTGAGTATAAATCATACCAGGAAACTGTCCTTTGCTTACTACTGTTCTAGTGCCAAGACTTGTGGCCATACTTTGCTTCAATCCTTCTTCCCCACCCTTGACACTTTGCCCACTTGTCATTTCTGCTGTGACTTCTAGTCCCTGGGTCTCCCCTACATCTGTGTCCCTCACACCTTTCCCCTTTTTCTCTATCCACAGTGTTCTGCTACATTACCCTGCACTGTGTGTGTCATGAGATATGCACATAGCCCTAAACGATTGACCACCAGCTAAAAGGCAGTTGTCTTCTTCTGGGGTGGGACACATATTCTAAACAGTACACACTTGTCACAAACAGGCAAGGTCCTGCTGAGAACCTCTGACAGAGGAGTGAGTTGTACCAGACCTTTCTTGCTGGCACAGCACTCTATCCTACTTTCTTGCTAGTTGTGAGGCCCCTGTCTTCCCACACACTTTTCTATAACCATCAGATGCCCGGTGCTACACAGTTCTCCTTCCTGCACCTGCTCCTGGCTCCCTTGTCCTGAAAACAAACCCATGGATTCATTCTTGGTTTTGTCCTACACACATTTGTAATGGGCTGTCCTGTCCCACCAAAGCCTCATAAAACTTCACTGGCATTTTTCTGCTCTCAGGTTGTTGGCATGGGGTAAAAGCTGAGGAAGGTTTTTCTGAGCATTGTGTTTTTGTGGAAAGAGTGTCACATTCCAGGACTCCAGATTCAGGCCTGTCTATCCCAGGGGCTTGTTCCTGTGTTGTGTGTGTCCCAGCAGAGAAAGACATCTTGTACCTGGCTGAGCACGAAGGAGCATGTGCTGGGCTGAACCTGTGCACTCGTGGGCCTTGTGGAAAACTGTGCTTGTTTAGTTCATACTTAGACCAGAACCAGAAGCAGGACTGTGGCAAGGAGGACCTTGGAAGGGAGGACCATAGGGCTTTGTTCATGAAGAGCAAAATCCTTGTGTCAGACAATATTGTCACCTGTGGGGAAGTTGAGGATGGTTCCCTGGGCAGCCTGGGCTCTCTCCAGCACCAGGCCATCCCCAGTGAAGAGCATCCACCCAGCAGCAGTCGGAGCAAGGCAGTTTCTTACATTCCGTGAGGGCAACACAGCACGGGCGGGCAGGCCTGCCACAAAAAGGTTAAATTCAAGGAGCAGCAGAGTGCTCACACTGGAGAAAGCCTTCACGAGTGTAGTCAGTGTGAAAAGTCCTTCATCTCCAAGAAAAGACTTCTTGAGCACCAGAGAATCCACACTGGAGAAAGACTTTATAAGTACAGCGAGTGTGAGAAGTCCTTTGTCTACAAAAGCAGACTTCTTGAGCACCAGAGAGTCCACACTGGAGGAAAGCCTCACGAGTGTAGCAAATGTGGGAAGTTCTTTAAGTACAAATCTAGCCTTAATCAACACTGGAAAGTTCACACTGGAGAAAGGCCTCATCAGTGCAGTGAATGCGGGAAGTCCTTCATCTATAAAAAGAGACTTCTTGAACACCAGAGAATCCACACTAGAGAAGGGCTTTACAAGTGCAGTGAGTGTGGGAAGTCTTTCTTCTACAAAAGAATACTTCTAAGGCACCAGAGAATCCACACTGGTGGAAAGCCTCATGAGTGTAACGAATGTGGGAAGGTCTTTAGACACAGACCCAGTCTTCTTCATCACTGGAAAATTCATACTAGAGAAAGGCCTTATAAATGCAGTGAATGTGGGAAGTCCTTCATCCATAAAATGAGACTTCTCGAGCACCAGAGAATCCACACTGGAGATAGGCCTTATAAGTGCAGTGAGTGTGAGAAGTCCTTTGTCTACAAAAGCAGACTTTTTGAGCACCAGAGAGTCCACACTGGAGAAAAGCCTTTTGAATGCAGCCAGTGTGGGAAGTTCTTCGGACACAGCTCCACCCTCCTTAAACACCAGAAGGTTCACACCGCAGAAGGCCATCTCAGCACGGTAAATGTGGAAGGCTTTCATCCACAAAATAAAGATTTCTTTTGCACCAGAGAATCCACACTGGAGAAGAGTTTTAAGAATGCAGCAAGTGTGGGAAAACCTTCATAAAAGGGTTTGAATTCAATGAGCACCAGAAACTCTGGAGAAAAGCCATATGAATGTAATGAATGTGGGAAGTTCTTTAGACACTGATCACTGATCCACTCACATTCAACACCAAAATGTTCATGCTGGAGAGAGGCCTTGAATAAGTGTAATAAATATGGGATGTCCTCTATAGACAAAAGAAATCTTGAGCAAAGAGAATTCAAGCTGGAGGAAGAAGCTTTGAGTATAATGGATGTGGGAAATCATAGGAAACCTTGTCAGCCTCAAGGACTGTCAGCCTCAATAGACTTACTCAGCACCACAAAGTGGTGGAGAAAAGCGTTTCTGTGCAGCAAATGTGGAAAGTATTTTTTTTAAGATTTTATTTATTTATTAGACAGAAAGATAGAGTGAGAGAGGGAACACAGGCAGGGGGAGTGGGAGAGGGAGTAACGGACTCTCCACTGAACAGGGAGCCCAACGTGGGGCTCGATCCCAGAACCCTGGGATCATGACCTGAGCCAAAGGCAGACGCTTAACAGCTGAGCCACACAGGTGCCCCTGGAAAGTATTTTGGTGGAAGATATTGCTTCATCAGGCCCCAGGAAGTTCACAGTAGAGAAAACCCTTAGTAGTAGACAAACACCTTATTTTTTAAGCCATGTTGAAGTTTGGAGGTTATGTGCCCTTTGCAGGTTTAGGATAGAATTGTGGTTTGCCAGTGTGAAGGGGTGAACAGCTTTTGTGAGTCGCAGTGTCATGTCAGGAGCAGAGTATGAGTCAGAAAATACTTCTTATTCCTAATTTGGCATCCTTTGCATTGCTTCCTAAGACATTCTGGGAAATACTGCAGGGCTTTGTGATTAATAATGTCGCAGTGCGTTCCTGTGTCATAACTTACTAAGGGATAATCTGATAATCTGATAATCTGATACCAATCTGTTGGTATCAGTTTGCATTCTCACCAGAAAAACCAGAACCAGAGTTCCAGTTTCTTTATATTCTTGTACCTGGTATGGTCAGACTTCCTAATTTCAGTGGTGTAGTAGGTGTGTAATGGCACCTGGTGGTTTTAATTTGTATTTCCCTAAGATGTGGTATTTAGATGTTTTTCATGTGTTAATTTCCAGCTATCATATCTTTGGAAATTTCTGTTTGTATGATTTATCATGTTAATTACTGAGTTTTGACATTTGTCCATGGATTATGGTTAAAAGTCTTCTATTTTAAATATTTGCCAATATATTCTTCCAGTCATGGTGTTGTTTTTTTTCAATCGCTTTTCTTGTGAAAATAATTTTTTAAATTTTAAGGAAGTCAGATTTGTCCATTCTTTCACTGGATATTCTTTTGATCTTGTACATAAGAAATATTTGCTAAAAAAAAATTTGCCAAATTTAAAGTCATAATTTTCCCTTTAAGTTTTTTTTTACTGATGTGTATGTGCCTTTTTTTAGTTAATTTTTGGACATTCCTTAAAAAAAAAAATGGATATCAGGGGCACCGGGCTGGCTCAGTACGTAGAGCATGTGACTCTTGATCTCGGGGTCCAGAGTTTGGTCCCCACCCTGGACATACAGATTATGTCTGTATTATATTTAAAAAAAAAAAAAAGTAAAAAAGAAAAAAAACCATGGATACCCAAGAGCTGCTACCATATTGATTTAAAAGATTATTCCTTCTCCCTTGAATTGGCTTTTGTATCTTCACTGAAGATCTGTCATTTCTCTGTATGTTTATTTCTGGACTTTCTTCTATTGCATTTATCTATTTCTTATATTTTCATGTATTGAATAATTTGGGTTTTTTTAAAAGATTTTATTTCTTATTTATTTGATAGAGATCACAAGTAGGCAGAGAGGCAGGCAGGGAGAGATAGACGGAAGCAGGCTCCCTGCCAAGCAGAGAGCCCAATGCGAGGCTTAATCCCAGGACCCCAAGATCATGACCTGAGCTGAAGGCAGAGGCTTAACCCACTGAGCCACCCAGGCGCCCTGAATAATTTTTTTTTTTTTTAAATAATGTCTTGAAATCAAGGTCATGTTATTCCTATAGCAGTCTTTTTCAAAGTTGTAGTGGTCATTCTTGGTCCTTCACCTTTTCATATGAATTTTAGAATCCACTTGTCAGATGAATGGATAAAGAAGATGAGGTGTACACACACAATGAAATACTACTCAGCCATTAAAAATGAAATCTTGCCATTTGCAATGATGTGGTTGGAACTAAAGAGTATTACGCTCAGCAAAATAAGTCAATCAGAGAAAGACAATTATGATATGATCTCACTCATGAAGAATTTAAGAAACAAAGCAGAGGCATAGGGGAAGTGAGGAAAAAATAAAACAAGATGAAATCAGAGAGAGACAAACTATAAGAGAGTCTTAATCATAAAGAAACAAACAGGGTTGCTGGAGGGGATGACAGTGAGGGGATGGGTAACTGGGTGATGAACATTAAGGAGGGCATGTGATTGTGGCGCCTGGGTGGCTCGGTGGGATGGGCCTCTGCCTTTGGCTCAGGTTGTGATCTCAGGGTCCTGGGATTGAGCCTTGCATCAGACTGCTCAGTGGGGAGCCTGCTCCCCACACCCACCTGCTGCTCTGCCTGCTTGTGATCTCCCTCTCTGTCAAAAAATAAATAAATAAAATCTTAAAAAAAAAAAAAAGGAGGGCATGTGATGTAATGAGCACTAGGTATTCTATAAGACTGATGAATCACTGACCTCTACCTCTGAAACTAATAATACATTATATATTAATTAATTGAATTTAAGTTAAAAATACAAGAAAAAAATAGAATCCACTTGTCAATTTTCTATATCACAAAAAAGCCTACAAGGATTCAGATTGCATTTAATCTTCAATTTAGAAGAAATACTGAGTGTCCCAATCCATAAACATGATATGTCTCCTTTTATTTTAGATTTTATTAAAATTTTGATGGGGCGCCTGGGTGGCTCGGTGGGTTAAAGCCTCTGCCTTTGGCTCAGGTCGTGATCCCAGGGTCCTAGGGTTGAGCCCCGCATGGGGCTTCTGCTGAGCGGGGAGGTTGCTTCCCTTCCTCTCTCTCTGCCTGCCTCTCTGCCTACTTGTGAGCTCTGTCTGTCAAATAAATAAATACAATCTTTAAAAAAAAAATAAAATTTTTTTCACAGTGGGTTTTTTTTTAAGAGTTTATTTTTAAGTCATCTGTACACCCAAAGTGGGGCTTGAATCCACAACCCTGAGATTAGTTTGCTTTTTATAGGCCTCGCATATCTTATATATCTCCAAGTATTTTCTCTTTTGTCTGATGATGTTATAAGTGGTAAATTTTACATCAAATTTCAATTTGCCAATTGTTTGGTGTTACACTGAAAGAGATATTAAACTAAGGATAGAAGCAATCCTCTTCAATCTTATAAATGAGGTCTACAAAGAAATGCTTACAAGTATTATGCCTTAACATCCATTATTAAAATTTTCCATGATATTAAAACAAAGGGAAGATAGCTCCTCCTTTCTCTTAATTCAGTTATCCTGGAGTTCCAGTTTCATTCAGTAAGGCAAGACGATGGATATGTAACAGTTGGCAAAGAAGAAATAAACCACCTAAAATATTTCCCGTGTTGTTGTCTTCACTTCGAGTCCAAATGTAGATACCAGTTTACCACCTCCACCCACCCCAAACTCCTGACTTCATCACCCATTCGCTGTTCTTCTTTTCTTAGGACCCATCACCTTCTATTACGCTATGCAACTTAATATAAGTTATGAATTGCATATTGCCTTTTCCATCAACTATGGAGTAAGTTCCAGGAGGGATTTTTTTTTTACATTTTTGCATTATATATTCCATGTTCCTAGAAATGTGCCTGAAACACATGAGGTATATAATTGATGTGGTCTTTTTATTTTTTTTTTTAAAGATTTTATTTATTTATTTGTCAGAGAGAGAGCGAGCGAGCACAGGCAGACAGAGTGGCAGGCAGAGGCAGAGGGAGAAGCAGGCTTCCCACAGAACAAGGAGCCCGATGTGGGACTCGATCCCAGGACACTGGGATCATGACCTGAGCCGAAGGCAGCTGCTCAACCAGCTGAGCCACCCAGGCGTCCCTGATGTGGTCTTTTTAAAAGATTTATTTATTTTAGAGAGAGAGCAGGCAGGAGGGGCTGAGGGAGAAAAAGAAACCTAAGCAGACTCTATGCTTAGCTCAGAGCCCAACGCAGGGCTTAATGTCATGACCCCCAGATCATGACCTGAGAGTCAGAGGCTTAACTAAGGACACCACCCTGGCGCCCTGCAGCCATAATTGATGTTTTAAAATGTTGAACAAAATGACAAAGCACATTTAACATTTATTTGCCCAGCTCTGGATATACTTTTTAACTTCACCCACAGTGTCTTTTCCTTCAGTTTCACTAACCTCAGCGTTTTCAGGAATGGCAAAAAACTTTCAAATCTTCTGAAAAGCCCCAATAGGCATTTGATTGGCTTTCGTCACTCACTTATTAGATCTCAGATTCCTTTCCTTACATTCTTTTGGGATTTTGATTGTTTATTTCTAAAGCAAGTTTTCCCATTTCAGTTTTTGCCACTCCTGATGGATATCTTCCTAAGTACTTTTTAATAGCTTTCATTGGTTTGCTCAGTCTGAAATGTTTTCTAGTTAATCTCTACTCCCCATGCAGACACTGTCACTGCACTTATAGGTGAAATGATAATCATTTCCCAGCAAGCAGATAAGATCCTGGAATTCCAGAACTTTGTCTCGGTGTATACATCCCCCTTGCACAGATGCTGCCATGGCCATCCCTGTCCTCAGAGCAGACAGTTTGGGAAGGAGCTCTTTTCAGGTGTCTGATTCTCTCCCTCTTATTCTGCTCCTTCCCCATCTGTGTTCTCCCTCTCAAATAAATAAATGTTTTAGTGATGAGATCACATTTACCTTTATTTTTATGTACTAATGGTACAGACATTTAAGTGCCATGTATTTAAAAGTTTATTTTTTTCAGATTTATTTATTTATTTTAGAGAGAGAGCACGGGCAGGGAGGGGCGGAGGGAGAGTGGGAGTTGTTTTTTTTTTTTAAAGATTTTATTTATTTATTTGACAGAGATCACAAGTAGGCAGAGAGGCAGGCAGAGAGAGAGGAAGGGAAGCAGGCTCCCTGCTGAGCAGAGAGCCCGATGCGGGACTGGATCCCAGGACCCTGAGATCATGACCTGAGCCAAAGGCAGCGGCTTAACCCACTGAGCCACCCAGGCGCCCGAGAGTGGGAGTCTTAAGCAGACTTTGTGCTGAGTGCAGAGCCCAAGGTGGAACTTGATATCATGATCCTGAGATCACTACCTGAGCTGAAATCAAGAGTCAGACGTTTAACCAACTGCACCACCCAGGCAACCCAATAAATTTTTTTTTTTTAAGATTTTATTTATTTATTTGACAGAGAGATCACAAGCAGGCAGAGAGAGAGGAGGAAGCAGGCAGAGAGAGAGGAGGAAGCAGGCTCCCCTAGAGAGCAGAGAGCCCGATGCGGGGCTCGATCCCAGGACGCTGAGATCACGACCCGAGCCGAAGGCAGCGGCCCAACCCACTGAGCCACCCAGGCGCCCCCCAATAAATTTTTTTTAACAAGTTGATAATGCATATTTATCAGTAAAAATACATCCATATACATATGTGTGTGGTTTGTTTTAGATGCTTCTTGTTCTGTGTCCCTGACTTTTCCCTGCATGTGTTTGTGTGTGTGTGTGTGTGTTCATGTTCATTCTGGACCATAGTTTTTTTTACTTAAGAATATATTCTGGAAGAAAGTCTAGTCAGTTGTGCTATAATGGAATGTATGTGTTCCTGAAAACCATCAAGCTATGCCAAATCCAAAATAAAAATCACAGGGCTTGGGTCCCTGGGTGGCTCAGTGGGAGCTCTCTCAAATAAATAATAAATAAATAATAAATAAATAAATAAAATATTTTTTTAATAATAAAATATTTTTTAAAAGATTTTATTTATTTGACAGACAGAGATCACAGGTAGGCAGAGAGGCAGGCAGAGAGAGGGTGGGGAAGCAGGCTCCCCGCTGAGCAGAGAGCCCGATGCAGGGCTTGATCCCAGGACCCTGGGATCATGACCTGAGCCGAAGGCAGAGGCTTTAACCCACTGAGCCACCCAGGCGCCCCCAAATAAATAAAATCTTAAAAAAAAATCACAGGGCTTATTGAGATTCTCAAAATGTAATCAGTAAAACATGAAAAAGAAGATAGAATCCTAACAAACGCCATAGCACAGTTTTACACGTTTAAAGTTTGAGAAACACATAAATACTGTAATAAATACAGGGTTTTAGCCTGAAATTTGTAGAAGTGGGTATCAGAGGGTTGCAGTTGTGAGTTATTTTATGAAGTAATGGAAGGAAGTTTACTTAAAATCAGTTGCCTAAAATTTACCCACAAGAAGTGAATGGGCTTGGCTCATAACACATGGTGAATTGGCGTAGCCAGTAGATATTTGACTTGTCCTTATGTGTTGCCAGTGGCTTGAGTGGGGGTTCTAGGAACTAGGATAATGGAGCTGTTATGAACCAAGATGATGACTACTGGAGACAGCAAATTCAAGCCCATCTGGACAATGCTGAGTAGGTGAATAGAGGTATGTGTCAGTTCCTGGAGGAAGTGTGATGTATAGATATAAATTTTGGAGTCCTAAGTACAGAGAGAATTATCAGAGACAAGCCTTGTTGAGGTTCCATTGCAGTGCATGTACATAGAAGAGAAGTGAGATCAGAGACCTGAGCCTCACTTGGCGCTCTCTTTTGTGTTCACCTTTGTGCTCCTCCTAGTCCTCCTATCCTGTCTTCCTTGCCCTTTTCTGGCTGCTTGATCTCCTTCCACCTCAGCAAGCTTTTTTTCATCTCTTTTTGGCACTTTCTCTACCATTGTGTTGGATTGTTTTAACCTGGCTCTCCGCACGAGTGAGTGGTCCTGGTGTCTCCCAGTGTCAACTCCGTTATCCCCTGCACAAATGGCTCCCCACACCCAGAATACAGAAAGGAGCTCTTTCCCCCTCCTTTCAGTTTAAACATGTACACAGCTCCTTTATCAATTTAATTTTTGTTCCCCTCTAATCCTCCCTGCCCTCTCCCTCAGTTTTATTGATACATGTAGAGCAACAGGAGAACAGGAAGCATACATTTTGTTAGTGGGTCACTGGCCATAGTGGTGAGTTGTGCCATCATCATTTCGTAAAAGTAATTGAGTATATTTCAGGATATGGAGTAAGAAATATGCTATGGATAAAACAGTATGGCTCACTGGGTTGGATGCAGTCACCGATAATTGAAGCAGGAAAGCTATTTTCTGAGGAAACTGGAGCCTGGCTTACCCTTGTCCACCTGCTTCTGAGTGGCCAACATCCATTCCTGCTCTATTTTCATTGCCATGATCCTATCCGGAGTCTTCTCTCCTGCCCCTGACCTAAAATTCTGAAACTAGCAAAACTGACTGCAAAGTTTCGGGGTACATGCATTTGAAAAGCATGTTTATCAGCTTCCAGCTACGGAGCGAACGCTTTTTGTAGAGTAACGATGGAATGATGTGTCCATTTGAATCTGTGTCCTTTCGAGGCCATCTGAAATAATACCTTTGGCCTCTGAAGCAACCTGGCTTCGTGGAGTCTGAAATAACATGTTTCTAACACTTTGACGATCAGTTGCTGCAACGGACCCAGAAGTGCAGGTGCTGAGCTTTCTTGCGGAGGGGAGCTCCGGCCTGGTTTGCCAGGCCGTTTCCCAGCGATCCTCGCGGTGCTGCCTGGCTTGCGGGGGGGCGGTGGTTGTGGGTTCATCCTTCGTGGGGGGTCTCCGGAGCTGTGGGAACTACATCACCCAGATTGCCCTGTCGGAGGGCCGGGCGGCGTTGAGCCAATGAAGGCTCAGAAGAGAGCACTTCTCTCAGAAGAGAGCAACACGCCTTATTGGGGCGGGGCTTCTGGCGTCCCCCTCTTGGCGGTCTTTTCATCTTCTTTAGAGCTTACCTTGGTTTAGAAGATGGTGCAGCAGTGGTTTGGGAGTGAGGTGATAGGATCAGAGGAGGGGCAGGAGGAGGCGCTGTCCCCGCCACACAGATTTGGATCCAAGACTCGGTGACGCCGCCGGGACTGCCCGCGCTGGGGGCCGGTCCCGGTGTCTGCTTCTCCGGCAGAGTCCGATGGCGGCGCCCGCGCCCAGGGACTCGGCTGAAGTAAACGCTCGTCCCCCGGGCACTTCCCGGCGCCCCCCACCCAGACCCCGAAGGCCCGAGCGCGGGGCGCCTGTTCGCGGCCCTGCGGCCCAGGCCCGGGTGTCCCGGACAGGGAGTCGGAGGTGGGCGGGGGCCGGTGTGTGAGCGCGGTCGGGCTGCGTGCGGGCGCGGGCTGCGTGCGGAGCGGGCTCCGGGCTGAGGGGCCGCCGGGTCGGGGCTGCAGGGCGTCTGAGAGGGGAGGATTCTGCTCTCAGGGGACAAGCGTGAGGCGGAGACGCCTGGAATGGCGCGCCGAGGTGCGGGATCTTCGTGAGGACGCTGGACGCCAAGGGGACTTTGGCCAAAGGAGGGACCGGATCTCCTTGAGGGTTTTAAGTGTCGCGAAGGTTGCTGGGAAAGAGAATAGACTGAGGGGCGGGGGTTTGATGAGGACACTGGGGTGCCGGAGGTGGCGTTCTCGTGCAAGGTCACACCCCTGGTCAGAGCCCTCTGACCCTGAGGCACAAAGGTTAGCGGTCTGTGGAGGTCACCTGGCCGCAGGGCTGGGCAGGCATATGGGGAGCTCTGAGCCTGTGGAGCCTGGCCATGGCCCCTCTGTCTAGGGCCTGCCTCTTTGGCTGAAGAAAGGCTCCTGAGGCCCACACGGATCCGTGGAAGATCTCGGTCCCTTACTGGTCCTGAACCCTCCCAAATGGTCTCTGGAATTCAGTGTCCGGGGACTCTGCCTGCTGTTCTCACAGTCCTTGTGTCTGGGAGACCTTGGAGAAACTCCAGGCGTGGAGTCCTGAGTCTCCGAGTTACATGGAAGGATTCTTGTTTCTGGCAACCAGTTGAAGGTGTGGAAGGTTATTCAGGAATAGGTGCCAATGCCTGCAGATCCTTGGAGGGAACTGGATTTCCCTTTTTGCCTCATGGAAACAAGGGGACAGGAACAGGACTGGAATGCCTGCCTTTGAGGTCAGATGTCAATTCTGGAGATAATAGAAGGTTTGATTAGGAGTAAAGTGATCTTACCAAGGTTTTAACAGGCCTCGTGTGGCTGCCCAGTGGAGAATGGACTCTGGGATAGGAGGGAGAAGAATGACAAAGAAAGGCCTGTAATAGGCCTTGCAAATGTTGTTGGGCATAAATGGTGGCCATCAAGGTGGGAGAAGTGGTTGGATCATGGACTCATTTTTTTTTTTTTAAGTAGGGGAAGAAAGGAAGGAGTCGGGGATGACCCCAAAGGTTTTGGTCTTAACAGCTGGAAGGATGGAAGTTCCATCAACTGAGATGGAGTAGTCGGTAATGGGAACATTTTCAGTGGGAATATCAGGAGGAATATCAGGAATATCAGCCCTGTTAAGCCCGAGACATTTCGGATACTAGTAGAGGCATTCAGTGGGCAGTTGCACACATAGGTTGGTAGGGAGGGGGTTTCAGCATGGAGCCATTCCAAAGGTGATTGCTGCAGTATCAACCGGAGGGGAGCTGCGGGTTGCATTTGGGAAGGTTCTGGTGGTAATACTGTTAGCAATCCAAGAAGAAAGTGGTGTGAGCCTAGAACGCGGTCTTTGGGTTGGGCACCTGGTTGAAGGTGGAGAGTACTGGGTACTGGTGAGGGAGAAAAGTGGCTGGGAGGGAAGTGTGGACAGGATGATCTGGTAGGTGACCAAGGTTTCCAAGGCAGAAGTGGACATGAGAGGAATGTGGAGAGACAGGAGTAACTGAGGCAGGATAATGTTCCCCAGGATTTTGTGGTGGCCCTTGGGTAGGGCGTGGGATGTTTCAGTCAGGATGGTAGGTTATTTCAGAGTCCGCTGTGGTCATCTGTGGGCTTTTAGGCCTGGGATAGGGGACCAGTGGGGCTGAGTTTTGAATGAGGTGTGACTGGGTGTGAGTGCGTGTGACTGGAGGGCTCAGGAAGTGCAGCCCAGAAGTTGAAGAGGGCGAGATGTCTGAGATGTGCATGTGATTCTGGTTGGTGAGGTTGAAGCAAAGAACAGAGCCAGCTTTCTCTCTGTGAAGTGGAGGCTTTCACAGCAGGGTTCTGGACTGCCCTTGGTAGTGGAAGCCATCGGAGGTCTGGATAACGTTGGATTATATGTGGATTCCATTTGAGTCTGCCAAGCAAGCACTGTCTGAATGCCATGTGCTAAGTGATGCGGGGAGAATCTAGGGAGATACCTGTGCTATGGGGCAAGGGGGTAGTTGTGGTGGCGGAGGGAGTGCGCCTGTGGGCTCCAGAGATGTAAAAGGTACAGTCTGTGCGTCACAGGTACAGTGATGTGCATGTGGAGAGGGAATGTGAAGTAATGGCCCCAGGGTCCTGGTATTGCAGACTTAAGGTTGAAGGGAAAGCCCAGTTTGGTTGAGTCTGGAACACTTCGTCTGGAGAACCGCAGGGGTATTGCTTAGCAGGAGCATTGGGGCCGTGTCTGCCAGGCCCAGAGTTTAGCTGGCATTTATCAGATGTCCTGCTGTTGTTGCTGAGGGTTGTACACAGTGATTAATGGGACCATGAGGAGAGACCACCAGTGGTGCCAATGGGGCAACTCTGTGGGGGAAGGGATTGTGGGTCCTTGGGACAGGGTCTCTTTGGGGTTTCATCTGTCTCTGTCAGGACAGTGTGATATTTGAAGACGTGATTGTGTACTTCTCCTGGGAGGGATGGGGTCTCCTTGATGAGAATCAGAGACACCTATACCATGATGTGATGCTGGAGAACTTGGCACTTGTGACCACCCTGGGTAAGGCCCTCATTCCCTCCACCAGGGACCTGGACTAAGCCTTTCTGCTTTTATCCCAGGGATAGCTCTGTCTTTCTCCCATCACAAACATGGGCATTGCTTCCTTCCCCTCGGTTCCCTGGTCAGTTGCAGTCCTTAGGGCTGGGCTGAATGTACTGCCCCAAAGCCTCACTGGGAAGATACGCAGGGTCAGTAGTCTTGCAGTTACACTAATGGCTTCCACCTTGCTTGCCTTTCAACTGTCTGTCTGACTCTGTCCAAGTCCACGGCACCTCTCTGCCTGGTTTTGCCCCTTCCTATAGGTGATGACATTTCCTGTCCCTGCCTGCTCCAGGAACTGTAGTCACTGACATGGCCAGTACTTATGTGGACTATGGGCAGTTCTTACGGGATCCTCCTCTGAGGATTTCTTTGTAATACTAGTCTTCTTTCCTATGGTCTGTATGTGTTAAGTTGCTCTGGGCCAGTGCTGGTCACTCACCTGTCTCACCTTTCCCTTAAAACTTGCATCATGCAGGTCCCATTTAGTTCCCAAACCAGGGGATATGAAGGAGAGTCCTTGGTGCTTCCCAGGATGAACATGACTCCAGCCATAGCAAGGTGGGCTCAGAGGAACCCTGGGCCTGAGAAGTGTTAAGTAGGAGAGAGCTCATCAGGGTTGTGTTCAGATGATACCAGAAACCTGTCCTATTCCACTGGTGGCCATTGGTTACCTCATTTCTTCTTTTACTTCCCCATTCTTGACACTTGCTAATTTGTCATTTCTGCTCTGATTCTGGTTAATTCCCACCTATCTGGACTCCACACACTACCAGTTCCCCTTACTGCTGCTTCTGTAGTGCTTTCTCACATTACCCTATACATTTTGTATCATGAAGTGTGCACATATCCTCACATAGTTCTTTTTTTTTTTTTTAAGGATTGTATTTATTTATTAGAGAGAGAGTGCACGAGTGGGGGTAGGGGCAGAGGGAGAAGCAGACTCCCCACTGAGCAGGGAGCCTGATGCAGGTCTCCATCCCAGGACCCTGTGATCATGACCTGAGCCAAAGGCAGATGCTTAACCGACATCCCTACTCAACATAGTTCTTAAACCAGCTCTCTTACACTTGGATTTTCCTGAGCTTAGATACACCTTTCTGCACAGTTGTCAGCAAGGATTTACTGAAAGCTATTAGCAGAGGATCCTTCTGCCCCTCCCTATGCCACATCCCATCCGTGTTTCTTTACCTGGAGAGGCCTCCCTCACTGTCTGACCTCCCTCACTGTAGAGGCCCAGTGTTGCACAGCAGAAGCTGCTTTTTTTTTTTTATTTAAGATTTTATTTATTTATTTGAGAGAGAGAGCAAGTGCACAAGTTGGGGAGAGGGGCAGCAGAAGAGAAGGAGAAGCAGACTCCCCACTGAGTGGGAAGCCTTATGCTGGGCTTGATCCCAGGACCCCCGGATCATGACCTGAGCCTAAGGCAGAAGCTTAACCAACTGAACTATCCAGGTGCCCCACAGCAGCAGCTTCTTTACCCTGACCCCGGCTCCTTCATCCTGGAAACGGTGCCATCAGCACATTCATTGGTCTGTTGGACCCACATTTATGATGGTATTGCCCCCTTCCCACTACTGCCTATGTATACTTCGGTAGAATTTCTCTGCTTTCAGGTTGCTGGCATGGAGCAGAGGATGGGAAGATACCTTCAGAGCCCACTGCTTTTGTAGGAGTATCACAGGTCGGGACTCACCATGGAGGCCCATATCCCCAGAAGGCAGACCCCTGTGGGATATGTTATCTGGTCTTAAAAGACATTTTAGGTGTGGCTCTGCATCAGAGAACATGTCCCCAGTTGAGATCTTACAAATGTAGAAAACCAGTCAGTTTTATTGCAGACCTTCACCAGCATGGGAAGCAATGCAGTGGAGAGAAACTGTTGAAATGGGCTTTGTTCGTGAAGAGCTGCAGGTCACATGTGTCAGGGAAGTCCTTTACCTACGGGGAGGCTGACAAGAACTTCCTTGCCAGTTCAAGGGAGCATCAGCACCAGGCCACTCATAATGGGCAGAAACCAGACAGTTGCACCATGTGTGGGGAAGCTATTCACAGTGGGAAGAGCCGTTACAGTTGGTGTGAATTCAAGAAAACCTTCAGCCACAAATACACTCTTGTTCAATGCCTGAGTGTCCGCACTGAAGAAAGGTCTTATGAGTGCAAGGAATGTGGGAAATCCTTCACCCGAAGGTTTAACCTCTTTCAGCATCAGAAAGTCCACACTGGAGAAAGGCCCTATAAATGCAATGAATGTGGGAAATTCTTCACCCACATTTCCAGTTTCATTCAACACCAGAGAATTCACACTGGGGCAAAGCCTTATAAGTGCAGCAGATGTGGGAAATTCTTTGGCCAGAGCTCCAGCCTTATTGTACATAAGAGAGTTCACACCAGAGAAAAGACTTATGAGTGCAGTGAATGTGGGAAATCCTTTAGCCAAAGCTCCAGTCTCCTTAAACATCAGAGAGTTCACACTGGAGTGAGGCCTTATGAGTGTAGTGAATGTGGAAAATGTTTTGGTGACATCTCCAGCCTCATTAAACACTGTAGAGTTCACACTGGAGAGAAACCTTATGAGCGCAGGGGATGTGGGAAATCTTTTAGCCAAAGTTCTGGCCTCATTCAACACCAGAGCGTTCACACTGGAGAAAGACCTTAAGAGTGTAGGATATGTGGGAAATCCTTTACCCGCAACTCTGGCCTCATTCAACACAAAATGGTTCACACTGGAGAGAGGCCTCAGAAGTGCAGGGAATGTGGGGAATTCTTCAGTGACACCCAGTTTTCTCAACACCAAAAAATTCATATCAGAAAAAGGCCTCGTGAATGCAACAAATGTGCAAAAGCTTTCAGCCGAAGGTTTAACCTCATTAGACACCAGCAAGTTCACCACCATATAGAAAGGCAGTATATGTGCAGCAAATGTGGGAAAGCCTTCAGTCAGTGGTCTGCTCTGATTCAGCACCAGAAGGTTCACAGTGCAGATCAGCTTTATGAGTGCAATGAATGTGGGAAAGCCTTTAGCCGAAGGTGTAACCTCATCCGACATGAAAAAGTCCACACTGGAGAGAGACCTCATGAGTGCAGTGAATGTGGGAAAGCCTTCAGCCGAAAGTCTCACCTCACTGGGCACCAGAAAGGTCACAAAGCAAAGCCATAGCCATGCAAGGAGCAGGCTTTCTGCATGTTTGATATAATGACGTTGGAGGAGAGCCTTTGTGAGGGAGATATCTTCCTGAAGTTGAACTTATACATCAGAATATACACCACAGGGAAGATTCCCTGTAAGTTTCAGGTATGGGGGAAGCTTCTAGGAACCATGTTGTGCTTCCTAATCAGCTTGGGGTCCTTGCTGAAACTGTGACTGCCAGTTTTCATGGTATAAGGCAGCTCTAATTCCTGAAAGGCCCCCATGGTATACATCAATTACCCCAGTGTTTAGGGAAATAGATCTCTGTTCTGTCTGGAGAAAATAATGAGCAGCCTGAGTCTTACAGTGATGTCATTCCCTTCTCTCTAATTAATGTGTATACCTGACCCAGTTTTCTCCCAAAAGACCTAATCTGGGTTCTGCTGGTGGCTTGCAAAGAAGGTTTGTCTTCAGGGACATTGTTTTCATTTAACACTTGTGGTGGGTTTTTTCCAGTCTCCATGTCACCAACCCATAAACTGCCTGCCTATGATTTGTGCAATAATAAAGGCCTTATTGTTTAAGCCACCTTTAATCCTGGGGGTTGTATTCACCAAGAGACTGCTTTGAAAACATCACGAAGGTGTAAACAGCTTGTGTGGGAGTTCCCAACTTTGGTGCACCTCAGAAGACAAAGTGTGATGGCAGAGAATAACTCTTCAGTTTGGGCTTAGTTCACTTTGCTGTCCAAGGCCTTCAAGGAAAGACTGCTGGCTTTGTGCCACTAATATGAAGCCTGGAAGCCAAGATTTTTTTGTGGGTCCAGATTGTGCTCACATTGAGGAGCAGCTACTTGTGAAAATCCCCCGTGTTTCTGGGATTGGTTCCATTGTCCATAGTGCATATCACGTAAATACCACATGGCTAAGGGGAATCTCTTCCCCAGGTCCTTCAGAAGAGCCATGTGCCCTGATGCACAGGATTTAGTAGGGTAGTGGTACTGGTTTTAACACTAAAGGGCTCACAGGAATCACAATTGATGAGAAACATTGGATTGATAGGGAGTGCTGGAGCCTGCAGTCAACTAGACAGAACATCCCTCTTCTAAAATTTCACCCACAGCTATTCCAGTGGCTGTGGCTGTGTTGGGTGAGCGTGACTCCTGGTCTGTGTAACCCTAATAGCTGAGGTCATTGGCAGAGAAATTAAGGTTTTATGGATTCCTGTAGCTTTCTGGGCTGTTGACCTTAATTTATTGCACATGCAGGAAAACAAGGATAGAGAGAAGGGAGATCTCTTAATCCAGCCGTACAGCCTCTGTGGCTAAGGTGGAAACATCCTCCATTGTTCACCAGTATTTGCTATCATTGAGATAAGCCATCCCTCCCAAAGCATCAGGAGAGAGGTGGTAGAGATGTTAGAGGGTTGCCAAACCTGATTTTTTTTTTTTTTAAAAAGGAGTGGGAGAGATCCTTACTTTTATTTTGAACCATTGCTTAAAGCTTTAGGATATAATGACATATAGTAAACTGAACATATTTAAAGTGTGTAGTTGGAAAAGATTTGGCAATATAATCTACCAAACTATCATAGTTGTGGTAATGAGCATATAAGTTCCACACATATTTACCTTTTTTAAAAAATTTTATTTATGGGGCGCCTGGGTGGCTCAGTGGGTTAAGCCGCTGCCTTCAGCTCAGGTCATGATCTCAGGGTTCTGGGATCGAGCCCCGTATCGGGCTCTCTGCTCGGCGGGGAGCCTGCTTCCTCCTCTCTCTCTGCCTGCTTGTGATCTCTGTCTGTCAAATAAATAAATAAAATCTTTAAAAAAAAATAATAATAAAAATAAAATAAAAAATTTTATTTATTTGACAGACAGAGATCACAAGTAGGCAGACAGACAGGCAGAGAGGGAGGGAGCTCAGCAGGGAGCTTGCTTCCCTTCCCCTCTCTCTGCCTGCCTCTCTGCCTACCTGTGATCTGTCTGTCAAATAAATAAAATCTTTTTAAAAAGCGGGGGGCTATGTGTAAGACTGGAGAAATATCTTTTGTAACAGACTGATAGATCTATTAAAGTGTAGTAGTTATTTTCAAAGTGAAGAGGATATTAGTTATATAGTACAATATGAAAGTAGTGATAATGTGGAAATATTGGACATTGAATACAGTGGTCTCATAAAGTACACAATAGATAAGGATAAATAAGTGTCTGTATAACTAAAATTTAAAATATCAGGGGCGCCTGGCTGTCTCAGTCAGTAGAGTATGCAGCTCTTGATCTCTGGGTCGTGAATTCAAGCCCCATGTTGGGTATAGGGCTTACTTACAAAACAAATAAAATATATTTATCTCAGATGGAGAAAATCTCAAAGGAGTCAGAAAGGGGGTAAAGCCAATGGAAATTTTAAAGGGAAGCTAAAGATCTAAGACATTAAAGAAGAAGCAGACATGTAGCTAGATAATACAACACAAAGGAGAAAATTACAAAGGGGGGATGTTTGTTTAGAATGGGAAACACATGCTGCCTAGACCCATTGTAATAAGGAGAATCAAGGACAGGAGAATGTTATGCCACATGTACAGTAAGAGAAATACAGGAACCAAAATCAGCTTGAGCTCATTCCCTTTCACAATTAGTGAATGCAAGTGTACCGTGAAATTTTTCTGATTCATGTTACTGTTGTTGAACTTGACAAAAGGTATTTAAAACTCAGAATTCACAGAAAAATAAAGCACAATTAGAAGATAAAGAGAAAAAAGGGTAAGGTGGATTGTTCTTTCAGAGGTTAGGACCTGTTATAAAACTAGAGATGACAGCAGTTTGATATTAGATATTTGTGCAGAGCTACATGTACAGATCAGCGGAGACCATGTAGAGCTTAGAAGGAGATCCACATACATCGGGACATCCACACTTGGTGTGGAAGAGAACTGCTGCTCCAAAGAGACACGTTCTGATGTACATCAGGACACATGAACAAAAACTTTCACAGCTGCGTTGTCATTATTGCTGACACCTGAAGGCCATACAAAGGTCCATCAGTGTAGAACAGAGACACATTATGAAATGGTGCTCTCAGAAGCACTGAAAATGAATGATACACATTGAGCAGCATGGATGAGTCGTACTGACACTCAGTGGCCAAAAGAAGTAAGAGCAAACAAATACATAGCATATGACTCCTTTCATATAAATGTCAGTGGCATACAGAGTCAAACTATATTTTAGGATTTATGCACAGTTAAGGAAAACTATCAAGAAAATCCAACAGAGGGACACCTGGGTGGCTCAGTGGGTTGGGCCTCTGCCTTCGGCTCAGGTCATGGTCCCAGTGTCCTGGGATGGAGCCCCGCATTGGGCTCTCTGCTCAGCGGGGACCTGCTTCCCCCTCTCTCTCTGCCTACTTGTGATCTCTCTCTGTCAAACAACAACAACAACAACAAAATCTTAAAAAAAAAAAAAAGAAAAAGAAAATCCAACAGATGCTGACTTAAAAATCCGGATGTTGAGTTTATCTTGGAGGAGGTGTAGACTGTGTCTGGGATGGAACACTTGACATGGCAGGGCACTACTAGCATTCTTCGTATTTTCCTCAGTGGCAGATACAGAGGCATCTATTTTAGGAACATTTGTTAAATTCTAAATATATATTAATTCCCTGTACTAATGTTATATTTCACAATAAGAGTGTAAAGAAAAATGGGATAAACATAAGTGTGCTCCTTAAGTGATAACACCAAAAAACAATAAAATGAAATAATTTAATGGAGATGAATTACACATAACCTGCCCAGAGAGCAGAAAAGAGAAAAAAAAATGGAGATGGAAAAGGAAGAAAAAGAATGTTGACTATTAGGTTTAACTAGCAGGTTTCTTTCTAAAGAGACCTCTCATGAGAGGCAGGGCATGAAACATAAACACAAAATCAGTCAGTATCAGTATGAATTCCTCGCAGACCCAGAGAGTGATTGCTTGGCTGAAAATTAGGTGGAATACAGATCAACCCATAAAATGCAAAAGGAAAAAACTTTCCCAAAATTATTCACTTCGCTTCAAAAACAGCATGATCACAGTTATTTGGATGCAAACTATTTCCATTAAGAACACGGTCTAGAATTTGGGCAAATAACTTTGAGTCCAGTTGTACCATGGAATGATGGCGGGAGTTTGTAGGTTGTAAATCTGTTCTGTCGTCTTCAGATGGACATGAGGATACTTAGCTTATAGCTGAGTTGTATGAATAACTTGTTAGTAAAACCATAGAAACAAAATAATTTCAGACCCACTCTTAGAAAATACAAAATCTGCTGTAGAACCTGCAGGCCAGTAAGGTCAAGGGACAGACATGCAGGTCAGGAAGGAAGCTCATTGTGAGGTGAGTCTGCCTGAGACAGAGGTGGGGGCATCATAGATAAGGAAATTGCTCTATCTTTTGTGACTTCATTCATTAACTGTATGAATTAGGTGTCATTGGGCTAAGGCTCATTTTTATATACAGTGTGTTCTAATCAACTACTCAAGAATTAATTGGTCTAGGAATTACTTTAGGACTACAGAGGTCAGAAGTTAGTTGGTGACTCTGTAGGTAATTAGAAAGCATTTAAATCAGGGTTTAGAGAACCACACCCTGACCTGATAGTGGAGCCTGTGTGAGAGGATGTTGTGGAAAAGATAAGGCCTCATCAGAAGACTGTGGTGTAAACTTAAGCTCAAAAAAGTGTTGCACAGTGCATGAATTTTTCAAAAATTTTCCTAAAAATCGATTGGACTTAAGGAGACTTATAAATGTCATCATTTTCTATGTGTAAATAAGTAATAAAAGGTTACACATTCTCAAAGACACAGCATCCAGTCCTAGGATTTATCAAAATTATGAAATAGTTGTGAAATTCAGGAAAATTAAAAGATTAAATTAAAATCTTTAAAGACAATAGGAACAGGCTGAATTAAATAGAGGAAATCACTGGGGAAAAAACTCATATCTAATAGTAATGGAAGAGATAGAGTGAAAATCCTTCCTACATTCTTG